CATCAATTTCTCCCACTACTTCCTCATCAGATAGACCAATGCGATTAACTCTTGCTCGTGCAGCACTCAGATGTTTAAGGCCACTCGTATCACTTATATCTTTGACCTCATTTTCAGTCAGCCACGTGTTGCCTCTCTTGGCGAGATATAGCTCTAATTTGCTGGCAGCAAAATCGAACTTCTGCTTTTCCGCAATGGCATCCTTCAAGTCATCCAGAGATTCGCTTGCATCGATCGTTAAGGAGAATGCACTCCCTGCTTTTCCTACGAGCGCACAGAAGATTTTCACCATGTTTCCATTTGTTTTTTGCGGGCGAGGGACTTCGATCCATTCCTATCACATGGCGTCACGATTTTGACATACCATCAATCAAAGATAAAAATATTTATTTACATAGACACAAAAGGCATGGATATTACGTATGTATCCGATCCGGATAATAACTAGTCATGCTTTAGATATTTGACCTTATTTCAGGAACGCGATCCCTAGTTCTCCATCCAACGCACTGAAGAGCCTATCTGCGCTCTTCATGTCTCTATCTCCCTCGACTGAGAGATATGAAGGGTAGATCTCCCATGCAAACTCGTCCTAAAAAATCTCAGTGGAATAATTAATCTGAACAGGCTGCCCTGCGCCTGCTGGGAAAGAAGTGGGTTCATCTGTGCCTCTTTCAGCCCCCGAAAGAGCAGATGGGGGCTCACATTACATGATGTTGGCTGTCAACATCAATGTCTCAAGTAGATGGGGGCTCACATTACATGATGTTGGCTGTCAACATCAATGTCGCAAGTTTTGTGAAGACGCAGATAGTCCTGATATTATGCAAGAAAGTACGACGACTGTTGGGAACAGCAGACAGGACGCAGAGGTTTTAAGACACTATGTAGGGATACGGTATCCGTACATCTTACGACGATGACATTCGTATTAGTGTGGAAGGTTTTCTTAAACCTTTTTGTAAAAGTGAAGAATTTTTGAATTTGACAGCGTCGAAATATATCTAGACCAAGGCATGGTCGAAAGATAAGATATTACTTTTGGTAAGGCATCACTAACCCGTCATAAGCCACGAATCGGCTGGATGTCACGTAGCGCAGGCGAGGAAACGTTGGCGGAGAAAGGCGAAGTCGTTGGCGCTAGGTGAGCGCTGGCGGAGGCTGTTGGAGAGGAGGTCCTGCTGACTGAGAGGGAAAATGAGAAGTGAATTATTTTTCGTCCAGT